CCGTGGGAGGAGGTGCGGCGGCGGAGGCACCCGTAGACAGCAACGCAATCGGAACCATCGACGACGGAGATGACGACGGAACGAGCGCACCTTCTCCCGATGATGATGACGTCGCAGTCGCGGGACCGATCGGAAGTGAATCTTCGTATTCCAATTATCCACCGGCTCAGACGAAGAGCGACGGTAAAATCACCTCCGCCTCTCTCGGCCGGTGTCTCGGCCGTGCCCGGCTTCGCCGCCGCCGTAGGCTCGCTCTTCTATTTGTGAGCTAAGCCTACGCGCGTCGAAATTGGAAAATAAATCTTAATTAGAAAATCCTTACTATTTTTTTTTCACGTAGATGTATAAATATTGAAGACATTTGATGAAAAAAAAAAGAATTTTTTACAATTGTCACATTTATTTGGCGTTCGATGTGTATTCCCATCTTTCAATACTTCGATTTTGTCATTTTCATATTAGTATCTACATTTTTATAGTACATTGAAAAGGGTATTATTATGATAAAACAATGATTTGAACATTTCATTTTTCATTTTTTTTATTTGTACATTCCGAGCTCTTTGAGATTCCAAAAAAAAAAAAACAAAGAACAAGACAACAACCCCCACGCTTCAAATAGTTTCGTCTACAGACACAAGACTCAGCTCAGCTCAAAGACAACACCTTTACAGATGGCTAGATAGATGAACAGAAGCTTTATACTTCAAGATCTATATACAGGAAGAGATAAACAATCCAAGGTTGAAGCAGATGAAAATGGTGGAAAATACAGGGAGTTCTTCCACATGGGTATGTCGGTCTCAGCTCATTCCCTGTAAAAATTATGTATGTATATGATGATGATGATGATGCTGATTGCTAGTACCTGAATGTGATGCGAAAACTCAAAAAAGAGGGCCAAGAGAAGACCATTTCATGCATGGAGAATGCTAAAGCTGTAGCCGGAGAAAATCAGACACAAAAATCAAAAAATAAAAGGTTCCATCCACCATTACTTCCAATGCCAGAAATCAACAAGCACCCTCTATATCCATCAGGAAATTTTGCAAGAAGAGATGCAAAAGCAAGCATAATCAACAAATACATGATTGGCCACAATCCATTGATTGTTCAGTAACAGAGAGGTATATTAAAAAGCACTGTATCAGATACTTTGGTAAGTAGATTTAGCAGTGTCAAGGAAAACGACTTTAATAGTTCCGTCTAGATACGGTGTAGGACTTACTGCTTCTGCTCGAGAAGCCCTGCTGGGTCGTGGACACCAAGCTTCGCCACCCGAGAGAGAGATTTGCTGGATAAATATTGCCATCAAGAGAAATGAGAAAGTGAACAATATAAAGTTATGTAAGAGAAGAAAGATGAGATGGCAGAGGAGGATTTTCTTGTTTGTTTGTTTTTTTTTTCAGTCGGAACGTCTCCGCTTTCCGTTGTCCGCATCTCTTGATCTGGACCTGTGGTCATCTTCTCCCATTCGAGATCTGCTTCGAGATTTTGAAGAAGATTGCCCTCTTTCCCATTCATCATCATCATATCCAGAGTCACGATCTCTTTGTCTATAGCCACGGTGGTGGTGATTATCTTTCTCTTCATGGTATTTGTGTCCCTTGTACTCTCTTTCTTCCCGATACTTTCTATCGCTGTTCTCTGACCAGTCACGCTCAGGAGCCCGTTCTTTGTCCCTGGATGCAGCGGTATTCGGCTTTGCATCTTTCTCCTGGTTTTCGTCTTCGTAGCCATACTCAGAACCACCATCGTCACCTCCATATCCGCTAGCATCACTCCACATCCCCGCATGAGGTCCATCCATTCCGGAGGAACCCATCATTCCCATTCCAGCGGCACCCATTCCCCGGCCAAAGAAAGCGGGATTTACATGAGGAGCCACTCCTACCATTCCCAGCGCATTGATACCTGGAAATGAAGGAGGCATGCCGGGGAAGGCAAGACCTGAAAACCCACCATAACCGCCTCCTCGACCCATGAATGTAGGATCGAATCCAGCTCCCATCATGCCCTGTGGATGCATCAGACCAGCAGCAGGACCACCAAATGCATGACCCGCAAGGCCTGGCCCATACGGTCCAGCACCTACACCATTTGCACTGACACCCATGTTGTTCAGGCCTCTACCCCTCATTCCTCCCCCACCCCAAGGGCCTCCACGGTTATTCATTCCCTGGCCACCTCGTCCAAACCCACCCCTCCCGTAATTCCTTCCACCATCTCCTACACTTTGCATATTCATGTTGTTGCCTCCTCTTCCCATTCCCTCATTCAGAGGCCTTCTATTCTGAAGCTGATTTTGTCCCTGGTTCCTGCCCGTAAAGCTTGCACCCATCTGCTTCAGCGTTTCAGGAGAAGCAAAGGCCACGACACAAGCTCTACCGCTGAAGATGTAACCATTCATTCCCTCTTTGCAAGCAGATGCAACCGCTGCATCATAAAACTCAACCTGACAATAGCCTTTAGATTTGCCACATGCTCTCTCATCAAAGAACTTGATCTCTTTCACTCTTCCATACTGAGAAAGAACACTCTCAAGTTCGGCATCTGTAGTCCACCAGTGCAATTCTCCCACGAAAAGCATGGTATTGCCATTCTCCACAGGAGAGAGTATCGGACTTTTGTTCATCATTGCATGATTAGCATTAGGATTCCCACTCATTTGGTTAACAGGAGGAACCTGATGAGAAGCTTGAGGTTTGACAACATAAGAGTTCTGCACAGGTTCAGGCTCGTTGACCGTTTTCCCGGGTAAAACAGGGATGTTTAACACTGCCGATGCTGATCCTTGTGGAACCATCTTGTTGGTTTGGGAATTATCATTCGAAGCCTTTGCTCCAACAGAAGATGCTTGTGGGTAGACATCTGATCTCATATCTCGGCCATTGACCGCATTATGCCCTCCATCGTTCTGATACTTCCCTTCAACCGAACCTCTGTGAACACTTGGCCCAGACGGCGCCCCGGCCTGCATTCTTGGCTCAGAAATGTTACTTATCTGAGCTTGGACCCCTCCATTACCTGTACCACCACCCCCTTGTGCTGATGGTTGAGGCTGATGAGCTTGGAAGAAATTCTCACCAACATTAACATCACTATACAGATCATCATACTCATCCTCTTCTCCCATCAGTTCTTCATCTGCTAAGGCAGGTATAGTTCCGCTTCCTTGGTATTGTATCTTCTGATTACTCCCATAGTCTACGTTTTCTTCAGTCATTGGATTCATACAAACTGGCCAGAAAATACAAGAATAATAAAAACATATTCATCTTTATGTCTACCCACAAGAAACTGTTCTACAGACAAAGAGAGAGACAACAAACCAGAAGCCAACCCAATGTATAGACTTCCCAGTTCCTACAAGACCATAAAGCATCTTTTACCAAGAAACAACAATCTGCCTATTCAGTTACATGGAGCCTCTTTACAAGCCGCGGATATACAGAAAAACGTGTGTGCATATACAAAGCATGACCCTTGTTTATTAATTTGCCAAAAAGGAAGCGGAAACAAGAACAAAAGGTACCACAAATCTAGCTTACAGAGAGGAAATCTCGGGTTTGCTGAGAGACATGAACAGATTTATCCCGACCAACTTCAAAAACAAGGAAATTAGGGACGAAAACATATACAAATTAGACTCAATTGAATCAAATTACATACATATTGTTCAAGACAACTCATACAATGAAGAGGATACATATAAATCGAAGTCTCGAAAACCAGCAAAACAGACTCTACCTAGCTAAATCTTCAACAACATGTTCTCACAAAAGCCCCCAAAAAAATAGATCTAACAGATACGTTTCAGAACAGTACAGAACGATAATTGCAACCCAGAATGCATAGATCTGGCTCGATTTCCATCGCTTCGAAGATCCAAACGAAACCCATGAAAGAAAAATCTACGCTTGCTTACTTTGGCTTCTGCTCTCGCGCTCTTCGTCAACGCAACCTGAGTTCAGACAAAAGCCCCCAGGGTTCTGTCCGTGTCTCCCTCTTCAAGGCCTGTGCTGTAGATTAAACAGATTACGGAAAAAAAAATTGGAGTTTCACCAAAAATATGAAAAATCCGCGAGATTCAATGAAACCCTTGTTGTGATCAGAGGAAATTCGTCTTCTTTGTTGCAAAATTTATCCGATAGAGAAACCAAAGGTACTGTCTTTAGATTTGTTTTTTCTTTATTAGGCTCGCCTTCTCTGTGATTTTTGGTTGACCTAAAAAGCCTTTTGGTCAAGCTACTTAATTTAACGCAAAATATTAATTGAAAAATACAAAACAATAACAATAAAAATCGAAAAAAAAAAGTTGCTTATGGTATTCAGAAAAAAAGTCATTTTCCAAAATGGAATCCAGATTAAATTTTCATCTTTCATATGTAAATCGGTATTAATTACTTGATTATTTTTATTTTTTTGTAATTAATATTAGACTCTTCCGGTAATTTTCCGCAAATGTCAAGGAAATAAAAGATTAAAACATGTTTTTTTACCATCATGAATGAGAAACGTGTAAATTCAGACAAGAATCCGACTTCTAATATCAAGAATCTAGCGAAATAAACTCCTAACGTACAAGGTGTATCTCTTCTCCTGAACCAACCTGGTCCATATAACCCTAGCCCTAAATCCCAAAAGGTGAGAATGAATTCCATCAATGGCGTCAACACAGATAGCTTGGGCCACAAGCAACTTGTTTGGTGCTACAGAATAGTATGAAGAAGCTTCAACTTTTTTTCAGTACATCCCCTTGAACACAGGGTTCGTACGGCAGATGCTTGCTCCGTATTCCTCGTACTCTTGTTTCGTATGGCAGCTCTGCAAGATCAGACATTGATCTCAACACAGTGTGGCATTTGAATATCCAACCAAGCAAGAGATTAACGACTTTATCGAATCTTAGCTAAGGCATTCACATCACTGACATTGAAATTTGATCCATCAAAAGGTACAAACTTTGGCATGAAAGTTCAATAAGATTTTGATGTGATGTTCGCAAAGAGTAAGCATACCGTAAAGAATTCAGGAGTTGATGCGAGAACAGAACCTCCAAACCAAACGGCGAATCTCTGGACGGGATGGCTGACGATGTTAACTTCCACGGGTTGAGCCTGCGGTCGCAACAAAGACGAGGAAAATGCTCATCGTTCTTTCGTGTCAGATTATTACAAGTATGGTTTGGTTGTGGGCGCTGTTAGAAAATCCGTTCTTACTTTAATTTCATCACCGATAAGAGCATTATTCGCAAGGTAACGGGCATCAACAATCTTCTTAAGATCTCTCTGCAACCTTCTCCCGAAATCCTTAAACATGGTTGAACCTCCGGACAAAACTATATTCTGTAATAAGCAACAGTCCATCAGCATATAAAAAGAATAGGATCTTGTTCTCCTCCTTGGAAAAATCTTAACTCGGACCGATATCATATACATGAAGGTCCACCCATTCTTTAATGGAAGTAGCAGAAAAGAAGCATTTTGAAATTGAAAGTTCAAAATAGCAACAAACCCAGGAGGAGTCTAAACCCGTACAAGCAAATTAGAGAGGAGACTTCCAGACCTTATATAAAGCTCTTCTTGTGTCGATTGGAGCAGACTGAATACACTTGTCTACAACAGCGGGTAATGGAGTTGTGAAGTCATTGCTGTAGATCTCCGGATTGAAAAATATCTACAACACATATCAAAACCCGTAAAAAAAGGCATAAAGAATGACACAAACAATTCACAATGCACACAACAGATATCATGATGGAAATGGTTGCAGTGGCTTTCCATTTTCATCATACAAAATGCATATGCTGCAATCATTTATACATGTGTGAGCCAAAGATGGAAAGCTGCTTCCAGGAGTGAAGGTGGCATACTAATCTAGCATCATTTCCGGCTATTGGGCCTCTTTTTAGCATATCAGACCGTATGAGTAACCTAATTGACAACATTTTGATGGTATTTGAATACAACACCGCTCTCTAATCATCAAAATAGATTGCCAAATGTATATATCTGATATGTTATGAATCACAGCCACCTCATAAGAAGAAAAGTCCAACTCGTCGCGGAAGAAACAAACAAACCAGAAGCCTATCTAACAAAAATTTCTCTCAATCAAAATGAGCAAATTAAGGTTGCCCATAAGGACAGTATTTGTCTGAATCTGGGTGTAATGCTAAATCAAAATTTATTTGGTATAGAAAAGTGCCAAAAAGAGGAGATCACACACACCTCAGGTCCAAGAAATCGTTCATAGCCTACGTCGCAAGAGTATGGTGCACCTGTCTTTGGTTTAACCCCTCTCCATTGCTTAATATACTTGGCTGGCTCTTTGTCATGCTTATTGAACTCCTGGAACCATTTATTGTTTTATGTCAACTAAGAGCAATCTTAAGTACTCAATAGAATAATATATCATTCAAATCCATTCAATGACTTAAAACCTTTAACACAAAATCACCTTTACAATATCTGAACAAGTGTAACAGTACATTTCCTTCACTTTGCGTGCTACATCGAATGAATCTTCTGGTGGAATGTTCTCTCCTCTTTCCTACAAGGGACAATGGAAAGAAGAAGTTTGTATGATATAGATACGAAAAAAAACAGGAACCTTCTAGTCAGTAAGTCAGTTGATGCCCTCATGTTGAAGAGAACCGAGCTATCTAGGTAAATTACCACCACAAGCCTCACGAAGAGAAGCAGAATACAGACTGAGTCTGGATATAAGATATTGAATATTGAATTTACTCACACAAACCAGCTTACCAGCGTGTATCTTTAATGGACTGAAACACAAATAAAAAGATTGAAAATTAAAGGGATAGAAAACCAACTCTAATGTAAAGGCAAATAATGCATACCCGCATGAGCTGCTGGATGAAGAGGGAAACATCTTTTCCAGCAATTGGAACCGACTTGATGCAACTCCCAATAACATAACCCTCTGCAACAGGTACAACATGAGTGGCACCATCGCCAACATCTACTACAACCCCTGTCATCTCACACTAAGAAGAACTGTAGGTCAAACTAAAATACGAGAATAGAAGACAGAGCAGAAGAACAGGTAGAATATCTATGAAATCACAATTGGTGGAAGTGGAACGGGTAAAGTGGATCCCGTGAATCAGATTCATATTCCTACTTAAAACACAGGACACAAACATGGATGAAGATACAAGTTACTCACTCTAGGAGAAATAAATTTATTTGATCACTCCGAGACCAGTGCTTCCAGGTTGACAACTCATCCAATCCAAAGAAGAACTTAAAGCAAATGAACATTCAGCAGTATTGACATCAAAAGACACTAGCAAAAAACACAAACCTCGAAAAAGAAAACGAAGATATAAGACCTACCTTTGACGTTGTGTACCCAGCCGCAAGTGCAAGCACTGAATTAACAGCAATGTAAAGTCCAGGAACATTGAATGTTTCAAACATGATTTCACCGGTATACTCTCGACTCTCGGGAGGAGTAAGAGGGCTTTCCGTCAGGAGAAAGAAATGATCCTCTGGATCACATCTCAGATAGTTGAATATACATTGCTGCCAATACCTTTCCATTGCATCCCAATCCTCTACTTGGCCATGCTCAATTGGATAATGAAGATTATAGGTGCTACTAGACCGTGATCTCGCAATAGCTTCATCTCCGATAAAGAAATCCAGATCTGCCATAACTCCAGCGCTATGCTGAGATAACCAATTTGACTTTGAGGAGTTCTTCGACTGATTCAAAAACGACTCATTAACAGCAACTACTGTTGGAAGAATGAAACAGGGCTCTACATTACCCGCAAAACCCATCTTAGTGTACCTGCAATACCCACACGAACATGGATGGACCTCATCAATTAGAGAAACCAAACGCAAAAAATAAAGACAACCCAGATGATCCATCTTGTATCACTACACTCTAACAAAAAAGCAAGGCAGGAAAAAAACCTCATTTACGCATTTCATCAAACAAGTTACGGGCGTAACCTATCAAAACTATAGACAGAGACGAGCAACCAGAATCTCCGATGATTCACGTACCCGGTTCCGCTGTCGATGACAACAGCGGGTCGAGAAGTTGGATCCATGACGAAAACTACGGCGGCGATCGCTACGGCAACGGCGTTTGGCGTGGCGGTGGAGGATCTGCGACTGAGATCCGAATGGGAATCCAAAGGAACAAAGGATCATGATCATGAACCGCGCCGAAGAAAGCGCAGGTATGATCCCGATTCCGTCTCTATCGCAGTGGTCGCATTCGACGGCAACACCAAAACAAACGTGGATCTCAAGCGAAAACGACAATTCAACAACCAGCAAAAGTTCATCTGCTTCCTCCGAGCCAAACCCATTTCACCGACGACGAACACTCGAACAATCCGGATGATAAATTCTCCTCATCGTCACTAAGTTCGTCCCTGCAGAGGACCCTGAATCTCGATGTCTATGTATTGTCTCTGTTAAGCGTAACGGTGCTCTTGCTTTGGTCATTTTTTGATCTGTCATGATCTACGAAGTGGGCGGTGAATTCTGCACCGTCCGATCTGGAGATCCATGAATGGACGATGAGAGATGCGATGATATGTGCGATGTGGGACCCGACCCGCTTAGGCGTTGGAATCAGAGGAGGCGTCCCACTAAAGTAAAAATGTCCGTAATAATCAAATAAACACATAACAACTCCATAAATTATTTTAATGCTTGCTTATGATAACTTTTTTTTTTTACGGTAGAAAAGCTCTATTCTAGAACCTTTCGGCTCGGACACCGGACACCGCAACAACTCTCATCCCATAAGTCGGATAAGAACGGTATCAGAACAGTATCCAGACCTGAAAAAATCTACCGCCCTGTGCAATAGCCGACAAACAACTTAGAGTAGATAAACCAGCCTCATAAAATTGATCGGCTCAAGAAGAGTGTTCATATCTGAGTTTCGAACCCACAACATTTTGATAGAGAAGAGTTATCACTAACCAGTGAAAAATTCCCACAATCATTCTTGACGCCAAAAAACTTATGATAATATATTTTTAATCGGGATTAATTTTAATAGTAGTAAAAAAAATTATTAAAATTTTTAAATATGTTAAAGATTTTCTAAGAAATGGTCTCTCGTATCATATATTTTTTTATCATTACAAAACAATAATGAGTCTTGGTTAATCTTTTATGAGAGAAAAATGCCAAAAAGATATTCCATCCTTTTTTACTGTGCTCTCAGATTCTTACACAGTCAGAGCAACGAATTACCGTCCACAAAGGTTAATTTCTCCTCAACCTCAGAAGCTTGATGTCGGCTCGATAGTGTAACTTGGCTCTTCCTTACAAGAACCCAAAAGGATGTGGGATTGAACCCAGATTACGAAAATCCCATTTCAAGAAGCGGCATTCATGAGAGTCCAACGGTCACTCCTTAGCTCGTCTCAGGTTCTCTCTCACTCTCTCTTTCTCTTAGTTGTTTTACTGTCCTCTGTTGCTGTTTCAACTCGTGCGGGCATATGCTGGAGAAAAATCGCAACTTTTGCTGATTTAATTCAGATTCTAGGGTCGCTACTTCGTGGGTTTAGCTTACGTTTTAGGGATTCCCTGAAAAATCATCTATTTTCTCGCCCCGGAATAAGGGGCGCATTGAAAGATGTTCATAAATTTGCTGAATGACAGATCCTCGGTAGGGTTTGGGAACGCATTCGAATTGACGGATATGCCTCTTCTATATATATATGTTGTGCTATAACAGTGATGTGTCTGATCAACAGGGTTGTAAGAATTTCTTTTGTTTGATGTTTCTTTTCCATCCTTTTCAGGGGATTCCTGGTCCTGAGGTCAATTCATATGAGTATGCGCATAAGTTGCTTAATAGGAAATGGGGATTGCCCAGTCCTGCTTCCCCAATTCATCAAATTACTGTTTCTTCAGTTAAAGGGTCCTGTAGAGAACAAGGACTCTTCAAATTATCCTTCTTGAACAATACTTGCCCTAATCTGGGCAGTGAACTGTTGTGGAAGGAAAAGCAAGGATCCTCCTTTTATGTCGTGAGGGATGATCTGTTGCACCCTCTTGTGAATGGTAACAAAGCAAGAAAGCTCGATGCTTTGCTGCCACTTCTTGATGATCACAAGGTGACTGATGTGGTAAGATTGTATCCGGCTTCATGTCAAAGTTAAGATAGTTCCTAGTTATACAAATGCTTGAGAAGAAATCATAGCCTTATGGACCGGATCTTAGGGTTGTCGTCTTTAAAGTCTCTTCCTTTTAGACTATATTTCACAGTTGGGTCCTTAAAACTAACTCTTTTTGTGTCTGAAATCAACCTAGGACATCTGTTTTGATAGTTGTTAGATATCTTCCTGTATTAGATTTCACTGTTTCTCATAGCTTTCAAGACCAAATTTTCATTTTTCCTCTAGGTTACTTGTGGAGGATGTCAAAGTGCGCATACGGCTGCAGTTGGTAATGAAGTTTTTTTTCTTTTTTTATGTAGTTACTCATGAGTTTGGAAATACTGATTAGAAATGGAATTCATTGCTTATATCTTGCAGCTGTTTCATGCGCTGAGAGAGGTTTAAGGTCACACTTGCTACTGCGTGGAGAACAACCTGAGATTTTGACCGGCTATAACCTTGTCTCGACTATGTATGGAAACGTCGAGTATATTCCAAGATCTAGGTATGCAAATCGAGAGGAAATGCTGAAGATGCAGGCAGATCTTGTTGCAGGGAAAGAGGGGAGTGTCTTA